ACATTTCTTACATTGCTGATTTGGTGTTAATGTACTCCTTGAAACTATTTTTGTTTGGAAAGCTTTTTATTTCACCATTGATTTCAAATGATCACCTCGCTGGATACAGTAGTCTGGATTTAGGCCCTTGCTTTGTATTACTTTGATTAATTCATGCCATTCCCTTCTGGCCTGTAATGATACCATTGAGAAGTCAGTTGACATTCTAATGGGAAATCCTTTGTAGGTAATTTTCTGTCTCTCTCTCGTTGCCTTTAAGATTCTTTTTTTGTCTTTAACATTGCCATTTTGATTATGATGTGTCTAGGTGTGGGACTTTTTGGGTTCCTCTTGTTTGGGACTGAGTCTCCTGAACTTGTGTGACATTTTCCTTCACCAGGTTGTGGAAGTTTTTTTCTTTCATTCTTTCTTTTTTTATTGTTTAAAGTATTACATATGTCTCCTATTTCCGGATTGACCTCACCCCACACCCCGGTAACTCCCACCCCCGAAGGCAAGCCACCAAGCCCCAGTGTCTGTGTCCATTGGTTATGCTTATATGCATGTATACAAGTCATTTGGTTGATCTCTAACCCCCCCTCCCCTGCCATTTGTCGCTGGATCTATTTTTGTTCATTAGTTTATATTGATCATTATATCCCACATACGAGTGAGATAATATGGTATTTCTTTCTCCAACTGGTTATTTCGCTTAGCATAATGCTCTCCAGTTCCATCCATGCTGCTGCAAATGGTAAAAGTTCTTTCTTTTTATAAAGGCATAGTATTCCATTGTGTAGACGTACCAGTTTTCTAATCCACTCAATTGCTGATGGTCACTTAGGCTGTTCCTAAATCTTAGCTATTGTAAATTGTGCTGCTATGAACATAGGGGTGCATATATACTTTCATATTGGTATTTCTAGTTTCTTAGGATATATTCCTAGAAGTGTGATTACTGGGTGAAATGGGAGTTCAATTTTTAATTTTTTGAGGAAACTCCATACTGTTTTCCACCAGTCTGCATTCCCACCAGCAGTGCACGAGGGTTCCTTTTTCTCCACATCCTTGCCAACACTTGTCGTTTGTCAATTTGTTGATGATACCCATTCTGACAGGTGTGAGATGGTACCTCATTGTTGTTTTGATTCCCATCTCTCAGATGATTAATGACTTTGAGCATGTTTTTATATGTCTCTTGGCTTTCTGTATGTCCTCTTTAGAAAAGTGTCTATTTAGGTCCTTTGCCCATTTTTTGATTGGGTTATCTTCCTTTTGTTAAGTTGTATGAGTTCAATGTAAATTTTGGAGATTAAACCCTTATCAGAGACAGCATTGGCAAATATGTCCTCCCATGCAGTGGGCTTTCTTGTTGTTTTGTTGATGGTTTCTTTTGCTGTGCAGAAGCTTTTTATTTTGATGTAGTCCCATTTGTTTATTTTCTCCTTAGTCTCCATTGCCCTAGGAGCTGTATCGGTAAAGATATTGTTACGACATATGTCTGCTATTTTGCTGTGTAAGGAGGATTCTAAGATTTTTATGGTTCCCCATCTTACATTTAAGTCCTTTAGCCATATTGAGTTTGTTTTTGTGTATGGTGTAATTTGGTGATCTAGTTTCATTTTTTTTTTCATGTATCTGACCAAATCCCCAGCACCATTTATTGAAGAGACTGTCTTGACCCCATTGTATGTTCTTGCCTCCTATGTCAAATATTAATTGAACATAATGGCTTGGGTCAATTTCTGGGTTCTCTGTTCTGTTCCATTGGTCTATATATCTGTTCTTGTGCTAGTACCAGGCAGTTTTGAAAACAGTAGTCAACAGAGACTACTATAATAGTAATCTGTCACTAAAACAGATAAAGATCAATTTTTTAACAAGGAGTAAAAAGGAGAGAGAAAAACTAAAGCAGGAACATGAGAAGAGAAACAGGATGAAAAAGAGAGCAGTGAAGAAGAAAGGGGTGGCAAAAAGGAAAAAATGAGATAATGTAAAATAATGGTAAAAAAATAAACATGAAAATAGAATGTTGTACACTAATCCAAAAAAAGTAAAAGTCTAATAATAATAAAAATAAAATAAAGAAAAAATTTCATTTCTTTAGTAAAAGGTAAAAAATAAAAAAGTGAAGTAGTGAAGGCTCGTTCACTTCAGCTGAGTTTTAATGTCCCCTAGGGGCTGGTTTAAGACCCCTCTCAACTGTTCTGTCTGTCATGTCTCAGTTTCCTGTTAGATAGTCAGCACCATGTTGAAGTTTCCAGTGACCCATCGCTCCTCTATGTCAGATTCCACAGACTTAGTTTCAAGCAGGGGGCATCAATCTGCCAGCTTTGTTTGTCTGCCTGCTTTCAGATATACAGTGGGGCCTTGACTTACGAGTTTAATTCGTTCCGTGACAGAGCTCGTAACTCAAATTACTCGTATGTCAAATCAATTTTCACCATTACAATGAATTGAAATGCCATTAATCCGTTCCGGACACCCAAAAAACACCCGCAATTGTTTGTTAAATGTTTTAAATAGAAAATGTATTTAAAA